ATACAAGGTCAGGGACTGAGCTACCATTGTACCACATCCTTGGTGTTCATTGAGAAGAGCAGTTTTCACAGGTTCATAGTGGCACGGCTGGGATGTACGAGTAAAACATTGGCAGAGGCAGCGAGAAGTGACAGAGGTTATAGATTTATTTATTGGAAAAGCAGATATACAGAAAGAGCGAGCTACAAAGAGAAAGATTTTCCGTTGGTTCATTCCCCAAGTGGCTGCAGTGGCTGGAGCTGAGCCAATCTGAAGCCAGGAATCAGGAGCTTCTTTTGGGTCTCCCACGCAGGTTCAGGGTCCCAAGGCTTTGGGCCATAGAGGTGATGTTCTAATGGCAGTTCAAGGGGCAAGTGTGGGGCTACAAGATAGCTAATCTCCAAAGGAAATTCACTTAGTGACTTTAGAAAAAAAAAATCACGTGTATTTATTTCAAAGCAGGGGGACAGAGACTTTCCATCTGCTAGTTCTCTGTCCAAATGTCCTCACTAGCCAGCACTGGCCCCGGCTGAAGCCAGGCGCCAGGACCTCATCTTTGGTCTCCCACATGGACGGCAGGGACCAAAGCAACTGAGTCATCACAGCCTCCTATCAACAGGAAGCAGGAGGCAGGACTCAAACCAGGCCCTCTACTGTGGGATATGGGCATTCCAAGAGGCTTCTTAACGACTGTGCCCCCAAATCCACCCCCTACTCAGTGACTTTTTAAAATCCTTCACTGAGAATGCGATCATAGAAGGGCTGAGGAAGCCAGGTTCAGGAAAGGTTGATCTCAGTCCCAAGCGCCCCTTCAAGGTCATCCCCTTGTGAAGAATATCCCCTGGGTACTGGGAAAGTGCTCTTAACCCAGGGCAGTGCAGGCTGCTCGGCCCCACCCAGAAATGCAAATCAGCCAATGGGACAGCCTATTGGATCATGGGAATAATCATCCTCAGTAAGAAAAGAGGACGTTAGGACTACTATTATCTACATTGTAGTTTTTAGCAATCCTGCCTGTCCACTGCATTGTCATAGTGTGTTCAATAACTTTAACTCTACCCACTCTGACTTGCTCCCATGAATTTTTCCTGCAGCCATGATGCTGGCCTCAGTGGGTCATTTCCATGGGACCAATCTTGTTAATCTCATGAACTCTGGCACTAGGGTGGAGGGTCTGAACTTGAATGGACACAGAGTTGAGAGGCTGCAGACACCGGTTTGGGTAGGGGGTGGCGGGTGGAGAAAGAGGGTATCTTAAGACACTGAGTCAGTTGTACTTCTGCATATGGCGTCAAGTGAGGCCAGATGTTTCTAGAGGACTAGATGAGATACGCTGGTTAGCTGTGCTGGCTGCTGATGTGGAGGTCCTGCTCAGAACACATACACAGTGGAATCTACACAAAGTGATTCACGGGGAAGGACAATGGCCACCACGGGGGAAGTGGTGGCTGGGGTAAAGGACATTGTTCAGATCCTGAGAGGGACAGTCAGGTGTGCTGAGTGCACGTCTTCAGGGACAACAGCAAACACCCAGGGAGTGTGCAGTGCAAGCTTTAGTCACTGGCCAGGCTCAGAGAGCAGACAGTGCTGGCCGCAGCCCCAGGTTGTGCAAACATACTATGCCTGGACTCCTTCCTCTTGCAAATGAACTTGAAAGACATCTTTTGGAGACAGAGAAGAGGAACCCTTTTCCTCTTTATGGTCTGAGAAGAAGAGGAAGGGCCTTTGTTGCTTCAAGTGTCGATCAGACCTTTGAGTTGAAACCAATGAACTTCAAACAGCCAAAGCATCTTGACCGTGTAAGTGCCCCAACAGAGTTAAGTGAGGATCCGAGTTCTCACCCAGGAGCAGGTCAGCCCTCACTGGGTCAATGCCTTGGGCACACTCTCTTTCCTCACCCACTGATCTTGTCTGTCCTATATTCCGATTTCCATTCGAGCCGGGGACGCTTCTCAGTGAGCCCAGTGTCTGCTCTTTGAAAAGTAGAGGTCAAGAGGTACACTTCAGAACTTCAGATAGGGACAGGCAGTCCGTGGAAGATCTGCAGGACAATGCCAATTTGGAAGCCAGGAGAGACAAGGGTGATAGGCATCTGGAGGTCAAGTGAAGTCATGAGGTTGCTGGGAGGAGTCACAATAATCCCTGCGTCTCACTTTACTGTAAGGAGAGAGAGAGAAGGCTTCCACAGAAGCATTTTTTTTTTTTTTTGCTATGTTCTCCACAGCCTTGCAGGCTTTTCTCTGGCAGGTGTTTGAAGCTTTTTACTGTTGTTCTTCACAGATTTACTTACTTATTTTATTGGTAATGCAGATTTGCAGAGAGAAGAAGAGACAGAAAGATCTTCCATTCACTAGTTCACTCTCCAGATGGCCACAACTGCTGGCTCTCAGCTAATCTGAAGTCAGGAGCCAGCAGCTTCTTCCGGGTCTTCTGCGCAGGAGCAGGGTCCCAAGACTTTGGGCCACCCTCCTCTGCTTTCCAGGCTACAAGCAGGGAGCTGGATGGGAAGTTGAGCAGCCGGGGCATGAACCTGCACCCTGGCGCATGCAAGGCAAGGATTTAGCCACTGAGCCATGGTGCCAGGACTTTTTGTTCTTTGGGGCCTCTTTTATAGAATGGACTCTTACTCATTCTTCAGTTTCCCGTTTATTTCCTTGCTCATCTGCTTGGTAACTGTTCGTCTCTACATCTGTCAGGTCTGTGTCTTGTCTGTTCCTACATCTCTTGGTAGTTGCTTCACCGATCTGTGCCTTGTGATGTGGCTCAGTAAATGAATATTCCTTTCTCTGGTGATCCTGAGAAAGGAAACAAAAAAATGAGCTGGCACCAACATCAATAGTTTTATGCTAGTCCCGGAACAGGAGTCGGATGTAGTGGCTCAGATGTTGCCTGGGTGGCCCACATCTACATACTGGAGTACCCGGTCCAAGTCTCAGCTTCCGCTTCCATGTCAGCTTCCTGCTAACATGTAGGTGACTGAGCCCCTGCCACCTATGCGGAAGACCAGGATGGACATCCTGGCTCCTGGATTCAATCTGACCCAGCCCTTTTATAGTGGATGTCTGGGGAGCAATCAGGCAGATGGAAGATTCTCTGGCTTTGCCTAATAAAATATATTAAAATAACTAAGCGTGTGAGTGAGTGAGAGAGATAGACAGAGAGACAGAGAAACTGCGTAAGGAAAATTAGAAAATTTTCTGCAATGCTGATCACTCACACCCACAGATGCCAGCCCTGCTGAGAATCCTGGCAGTGGGCAGGTGTCCTTTTTGTGGTGCCTCCTCCCTACCCTCAGGCATGTCAGCTCTCTATCTCCTCTCAGTTTCCTCCGCCTTGCAGCTTTGTCAAGCTGGGGTTCCCCACAATTTAGGGGCGGCAAGTCACATCAGGAGCTTTCTTCCCCAACCATCCACCCCTGTCTTTCCAATCACCCTTTTCTTTGCTTCTTTGTCCTTAACTGCCCTGGGAGTTTATCTGTTTCCTGGTTCCTCCTGACAAGAACAGCTGCAAGCCTGTCTTATCTGACAGCTAAGGTGCATCACATGTTTGAAGACTAAATGAATAATCTCGGAGTCCAATGATCTAACCCCTAGGAAAGATGTTAGCAGCGGTGGAACTTCAGACACCACTGTTGGATGTAGTTCTTCCCAATTTGCTCTTCCTAAATTCCTCTCCCCTCCCCTTTCATACATTTAGAAATACTTGAACATCTATCCTGATTTATCTGTTCCCAGGACACATCTCCAGATTCTTACTTAATGTTGCATTTATTACGAGGAATTTAAAATTATCAATCTCTTTCTCTTCTCCGCACCATTATCTAATTCACAGATTTGGAGGAGGAAGTGTTTAACCTCACAATGCCTAAGACTTTGCTGGGACCCAGGAGAAGGACACACAGAACAGAATGTGGCTGGGGAGAGGTAAGGGAGTGATCCCTCCCTCACCAGCAGGGCCAGCTGGGCAAGCACAGCTGGAGGGCTCAGACCACATGAACTATTATGGTTCGTTAATTCCTTTGCTTTTCAAAGTCTAAGTCACACCTGTGCTTTTTTTTTTAAATTATCCCTCCTGTTCATAATAGTATTCAGAAAATAAGTGTCTTCTGGTCATTTTATTTATTTGAAAGGCAAAAAGAGAGAGAGAATATCTCCCATCCACCAGTTCACTCCCGGAATGTTCACAACAGCCAGGGCTGCACCGCACTGGTTGGCAGCCAGGAGCCTGGAGCCACATTGGGGTTTCCCGGATGAGTGCAGGGACCACACACCTGGGCGGTCAGCTGCTGCTTTCCAAAGTGTATTCACAGGAAGCTGAAAAGCCACGAGAGGAACTGGAAAATGCGGTCACATTTTATTCTTCCATACAATTTCCTCCAAGGGGGCTCAAATTCCCAATTTACATCATCGGATGTTTTTTTTTTTTCCTGGATATGCTGTTTGCTCTCACCTCCTCATGACTGCCCGCTCATGGTCCTTGGCGTCCTCCACCAAGACCTTTTACTATCCGGATTTACAACCCATCCCCCGGAGACCTTCAGAGGCTTTTTTTTTTTTCTTTTTAAGTCATTTCCCTCCCTAATTCCGAATGAAATGCATGCTCCCTAACGGTACGCAGAAGGTCGAACAGCGGCCCCCGCCAGCTGCCCGGCCCCGCGAGGCAGGCCGCGGGCTCCTCAGGCGGGCTCCCCGGGGAGACGCGGGGCGCACGGCCCGCACCTCGCTCCCTCAGCCGCCGCAGCCGGGCCCGCAGGAGGAGGAGCCGCGCCGCCGCCGCCAGTCAGCGCTCGGCTTTGTTTGCTCCCTCCGGCCAATGAGGGGAGCCCGTGCCGGGGAGGCGGTCCTCGAGGGTGAGAGGCAGCCTATCAGCAGGCGCCGCCGGGGATTTCCCCCCCCCGAGGCCGCTGCGGCCCCGCCCCCGGGAGGGGCGCCGCCGGCGGTTACTCCGGGCTGCGCCGTCGTGCGCCCGCCGCGTCCGCCGGCTCCTCAGTGCCCTTCTCGGCCCGTGGGAGCGGCGCGCCGGGGCCAGCGGGGCCGAGGGCCGGAGCCGGAGCGCCTCCCGCGAGCCGCGGCTGCCGGGCCAGGTACCGGGGCTCGGGGCTGGGGGCCGGCGTCCCTCGGCCGAGCCCGGGGCGGCACCTTGCGCCGAGGTGGGGGCGGGGCGGCGGGCGTGGGCGGCGCGGGCGCGAGCTCGGGGATCCCGCGCGGGGGCGGCGGGCGCGCGCGTGCAGGTGCGGGGCCGGGATCCAGGTGCGGCTTATTTGTTTTGGGGGGTGTTTTCTCTCCGCTTCAGTGGGATCGGGCTCAGCAGACGGTTTTGCTTGATTTTCCCGAAAGGGGCGCGTGGCGCGTGGCGGCACGGTGGGCGCCCTGACAGTTTCTCACTTGTGGCTTGTGGGGTTTCGCCCGCGTGCACCCGACGGGCTGGCTCACCCTTGTCTCCCTGGAGGCGTCGGGGTGGGACTGAACCTGTGTGCGCTCTGGGAAACATCTGTGCCCTGAGGGAGACAGGTGCAGAGTGGAAGGGGATGGTGGGGAAGAGGAGTGTCATTCTGAGTCTTACTCTTAAAAAAAAAAAAACCACAAAAAAACCCCCAGCTCTCACTAATAAGCTCATCAGCGCCCCACGGATAATCCTAGGCTTGATGCACCTGCCACTTGTGCCCTAATACTTTGCATCAGGGCGGAGGGCGTGTCCTGCTGTGGTGCAGGTAGGAAGCAGCAGCCCCGGGGGGCGGTGGCTCAAGTCGTGACGGCCTCTGGTGTGAGCGAGGGTGGCCCTGGGCTGGGGTCTACCCCCGAGGAGCTCCTGGCGCTCCCTTCTCATCTTCCTGTGCACGGTCATTTAACAGGCTCGTAAACTGGTAAACTGACAGCTCCGCAGATGAAAGGAGATCCGCCCCAGTGATTTGCCTCCAACCCTCTTCCTTACCTGAGCCAGTTTCATCCCGGGATCCAGGCGGCCAGTCAGCTTAGCTCCCATGCCACCGTCATGGTGACCGCAGGTCCAGGGGCCAGCATTTCAAGTGAAGACATTTCGGTGCTTAGTTGGGTTAACTCCCAGTTTGCTAAGGTAGCTTGGATTTTACCAGCAAGGTGATCCCCGCCCCCTCACTGGCAGACACAGAACAACAAAACTTAGCAGTGATAATATAGAAATGTGCGTTTTTAATCTTGGGAGGTCTGGTTTAGCTGGTGGACTTCAACACTGTTTTTTTTTTTTTTTTCCCGAACTTGAAGTAGGCAGTCGACATGAGGTCAGGGCTAAATGGAGTATGATGTGTCTCAGTCATGACTTACGGCTTTGTTTTGGGAAATTTGGGTACGTTTTTAAAGCGGTGGAAAAATGATTTCCTACTTGGGGTAACTCGGTGTGGGGCGGGCTTAGGTAGCTGGTAGTCACCCCTGGAGCCTTTTCAAGGGTGAGGAAACCCTCGGGCACCGTGAGGTTCTGTGCACACCAGGAAGGTGAGCCGGGTGAAACTCCAGCCCCTGAGAGGAAGGCAGGCACGGCTTGGGACGCACCCAGTGGCACGGTCCCGCTGGGGAAAGAGCCCCTCGCTGCCAGCTCACCTATTCCACGGTCCACGGCACAGCTGACTCATGCCCACCTGCCAGCCCGGTCCTGCATTCCTTCACCTCTTGGCTTAGCTGATGCATGATTGTCTTTCTTAACCTTCTGTCAAATGAAAATCTCTGGCACCCAAACAAAAATGATTTCCATGAAGGAAAGAGGTTCTTGGGCTTGGCACGGTAGGTAGCCTAGTGGGTAAAGTCCTTGCCTTGAATGCATTGAGATCCCATATAGGTGCCTGTTTGTGTCCCAGCTGTTCCACTTCCCATCCAGCTCCTTGCTTGTATCCTGGGAAAGCAGTTAAGGATGGCCAAAGATCTTGGGACCCTGCACCCACATGGGAGGTCCAGAAGAAGCTCCTGGCTCCTGGCTTCAGATTGACTTAGCTCCAGCCATTGTGACCGCTTGGGGAGTGCATCAGTGAACTGAAGATCTTTCTCTCTGTAAATCTTTCTAATAAAAAGAAATAAATCTTAAAAAAAAAAAAAAGGAAAAGAAAAGAAAAAAGAGGTTCTTCGTTCTGGCAAGTCCAGCCCTCTTACAGTGTGGAAACTTTGTAAGATGCTATATCTGAAAGTTTTGCCCTTACGATCTCATGTTTTGTTTGTCTTTTTTTTCTTTTCCTTTCTCTTTCTCCTTCCTTCCTTTTTCCCTCCCTTCCTTCCTCTCCCTCCCCCCTTCTCTCCTACCCTACACCTCCCTCCCCTCCCCTCCCCTCCGCTCCCCTCCCCTCCGCTCCCCTCCCCTCCCTTCCCTCCCTCCTCTTTCCTCTCCTTCCCTCTCCCTCTCTCCTTCCTTTGACTGGCTTCCACCAGAGGGTGCATTGAGGACTGCTGATTGGCGGTTTCAGGTCTTCCTTTTTCCTCCCCTCCCCACCCCCCCATAGCCCAGGATTTATTTATCTGAAAGTCAGTTGCTTCTGTCTGCTTGCTGCTTCACTCTCCAAAAGGCTTCAGGACTGAATCAGGCCGAAGCGAGGAACTGTGCAGGTGCAAGGACCCCAAGCGCTTGGGCCATCCTACACTGCATTCCCAGGCCACAAGCAGGGCGCTGGGTGGGAAGTACAGCAGCGGGACATGAGCCAGCAGCCATAGGAGATGCTGGCGTCAGAGGTGGCTGTGTCACTCGGTATGCCCCAAGGCTAGACAGCTCCCTCCCCACCCTCTTTATTTTTCTAAAGAAGGTTGTGTACACATGCCCTGGTCAGAGACAAGCATACTGCACCTGCTCCTGCCGCAGCCACTGATAATTGCGGGGAGCACTTCAGAGTGTTTTCTGAAATGAGATGGTTTGTAAGGGAAGACCAGTTTAAACAGAATTGTAAGTATTTTTACTTTTTAAAGTTTTTTTTTAGATTTATCTTATTTTTACTGGAAAGTCAGATATACAGAGGACAGAGAGAGAGGAAGATTTTCTGTCCACTGATTCACTCAACAAGTGGCCGCAACAGCTGGAACTGAGCAGATCCAAAGCCAGGAGCCAGGAGCTTCTTTGGGGTCTCCCACATGGGTGCAGGGTCTCAAGGCTTTGGGCCATCCTCGACTGCTTTCCCAGGCCACAGGCAGGGAGCTGAGTGGGAAGCAGGGCTGCTGGGAAACGAACTGGCGCCCATATGGGATCCTGGCACATTCAAGGCGAGGACTTTAGCTGGTAGGCTACTGCGCTGGGCCTAAATTGTTAGTGATTTTAGGACAAAAAAAAAAAAAAAAGGAAGAAACTTCTGCTGGAATATTGTTTGGTTCTCCCTGTGGTTTAGGAACCCATATCAGATGTTTTTCCTTGTTATGTAGACTTGGATTTTTTTTTAAATGAAAGCAATGACTGGTGTTTCATTTAGGTTTATGTTTTTAAGGATGCATTAATTTGAGGGGCAGAATGATAGAGAAAGAAGGGGCAATAGGATGAGATAGATATTGCATGTGCCGGTTCCTATCTCAGGTGGCAGCAATGGTGGAGACCAGGCCAGAGGGAAGCAAGGAATCTAGCACTGCATCTGGGTCTCCCACATAAATGCAGGGGGCCCAAGCAATTGTGCCATCCCCCTGCCTTCCCAGGTGCGTGAGCAGAGATCTGGAGTAGAAGCAAAGAATCTGTGGACTGATGCTCTAGTGGGATGCTGGCATCGCAGGCGGCGGCCTAACGCGTTCTGCCACAGTGCCGTCTCTATTGTAATCATACTAATAACCGGCTTGCTCTCCTTACTGACAGGGAGGGGAAGCGTGCTCCCTCCCACCCCCCCAGCTGCTGACAGGAGCCGGTCAGGCCGGGATTACGGAGGGCGACGGGGAAACAGCTGTTGCTTTGATAAGAAGCTACCTTCCTTTTCTGTGCTGCGCTGGCAGTGCTGGTGCACAAGGAAGGCAATGCAGTCACCGAGGTGAGCATTTTGGGAAGCCCTGCATGGAACGTGCTGGGTAAGGATGGAAGCGTGGAGCTGTTGCGGTGGCTGCTGAGCATTCATTTCCTTGGCGTGAACTTGGCATGGGCATGAGAGTGTCTCTTGGTTCCCAGGGGCTGGTGTACGCCAGGGGGAATTGTGAGCAGGCTGCATCTGCCAGGAAGGTGGTCGTTGCTTGCCCCGCCAGCCCATGTAGGCATGGAGAGGCTAGCAGCTGGAAGTAGCCAGGCAGGTCTGACACCGCTCTCGCGCCAGCCTCTCTCTGATGACCTTGTTCAGATCTAGAAGCATTTGAAGTCAGGATTCTTTGTTTGTAGATCTGTTTTATGGACTTGGAAGTCAGAGGTAGGGGCCAAGGTGTGGGTATAACAGGCTAATCCCCCACCTGCCAGCACTGGCATCCCATATGGACGCTGGTTTGGGCCTCAGCTGCTCCAATTCCTGATCCAACTTCCTGCTGATATCATGGAAAAGCAGCAGAGGATGACTCAAGTTCTTATCCCCTGTATCCACGTGGGAGACTCAGAAGAAACTCTTGACTCTCAGCTTTGGGCTCGTCCACCTCTGGCTGCTGTAGCCATTTGAAAAGTGAACCACCTGGTAGAGGATCTCTCTCTGTGTCTTTACCCCTCTCTCTCTAACTCTGACTTTCCAAATAAAATAAATGATTTTTTTTTTAGAAACCAAAGAGGTTCAAGATGAGAGAGAGAGCTTCCATCTGCTAGTTGACTCTGCTACAGCCAGGAACTCCCTCTGGATCTCCCACGCTGATGCAGGGCTCATGCACTTGGACCATCTTCTGCTGTTTTCCCGAGGGCAGCAGCAGCGGGCTGGATCAGAAGTGGAGCAGCCATGACGGGCAGGTGCTGAATTAACCCTCCCTGCTGCTCCACGCTGCCAGGCCCCCTAAGTCAGAGCTGGCCAGGGATTGTGTACTCTGCAATCTTGGGTTTATGTTTTCATCTTTGAAAGAAAGTAGAGTTCCCAAACTCTATAAAATCAATGAGTATACAAGTGAATTCTAACTTTGAGGCACCCCTTTGGGCTTCTGGCATGTTTTCAGATTGTGGCTTGTGCTCGAGTACACTTATTTCTCATCATTTTCTACATTC